TTATGTTCAACACCATGCATCTTTAAATTCCTGTTGGCATGTTTGCAGGAGAAGGATGCAAGGGATATTGAAATTCCAAACATAAGATGGGAGGTTTTTCAATTGATGATGAGGTAAGAACTTACCTAACTTCCTGGTTCAGAAGTCTTTAGGTTGAGCATCAATAATTTACATAAATGAATTTCTATACAGATTTATATACACTGGGTCAGTCGATGTTACATTAGATATTGCACAAGATCTCCTAAGAGCTGCTGATCAGTATCTCTTGGAGGGACTTAAGCGACTCTGTGAGTATGCCATTGCACAGGTGAGCGTAAAAGGTTTTTGGTGCCCCCCATGTGAATCCAATATAATACTTTCGGTTGGAAGTATTCACCTGACACTCATTTTGTTTTCCTTTAAGGACATATCTTTGGAAAATGTTTCAAGCATGTATGAACTTTCAGAAGCCTTCAATGCTATATCATTAAAGCACACATGCATTCTGTTCTTCTTGGAGCAGTTTGATAAGTTGAATGCAAGGCCTGGGTATGTGCTTCAGTTAACCTGCTACAATTCTTGTTCTTCTCTAAGAATAAGGGCTAAAACTGGATGTCTGAATATACTTAAATATATCTAAATAAAAAGAAAAAGTTGTTATATTAACCGGCATTATAATTTTTTTTTTTTTACTTTTGATACATTGATCTAAATTAATTGTTAAAGCTACATAATTATGCAGGCAGAATGTTCAAAACTGGAAAATGATGAACTAAAGTTAAGGTCATAAGAAGGCCCCCCCCCCCAAAAAAAAAAAAAACGCCCTAAGGTCATAAACTCTAAAGGCTAAGTGGCTAACATTACTTTTTGAATGGACTAAATATTGGAAATGAAACAGAAACTAAATTACATAAAAAGAGGGAGGTATGAGAAAAGCGTTTTATTTTATTGAAAATGCTATAGTTGCAATGTCACGTGATATTGCAAGTTTATAACATGATGTGTTATTATATCATTAACTTTTTTCATTCAGGAGTTTACCTATGATATTTATATGTATTCACTCATTTAATGTCATGTTATTTTTTATTTAATGCCACGTAGGATTGCAAGCTTACTATCCTATGTGGCATTGTAACTTTAGCATTGCTGTTATTTTATTTTTTATGTTTTGGAGGAAGATAATGATTGGTACACATTTTATGGTACATTAATTAAGAAATTATTATTTTTAAATTTGAATTAAAGTTGAGAAAATTTAAATCTGCAGATTTTAATAACTAAACCGATAAGTATTTGCAAGTGTGTTAAACTAAAGAGTACCAATCATTTTCCTTTGGAGTAAAATGTACTTTTGAATTTGTTTTGACTGCTGCTGAGATTTTCTTCACATGCTAAATACTGCAGGCACTCTCATCTTATCCAGCGTATTATTCCTGAAATCCGCAATTACTTTGCCAGAGCACTTACAAAACCTAACCAACATAACCTGCGGCTATAGATGACTGGCTTTTACCCCTTGATCGCTAACTAGAAGTTGTACATAAAATAGCAAATCTTGATGTTCTGGAGCCAGATGAAGATTCTAATGGTTCCTTGTAGGATGGTTCGTGATCATTTTCTTATGCTGGAGCTACATCACCTTCAGTCAAACCATAAGTTTCTTTTATTCTTTGTCTTAGATATCGATAAGAATAGGTCTTCATCAAACACTTCGATCATCATGCATTGTGATGGATATTCGAGTGAAGTGTACTTGAACCTTCTTCTTCTTCTTCCTTTTTCTTCTTTTTTTTTTTTATTTTTTTTTATTTTCCTTTTTCTATTTCTTCTTCTTCTTCTTTTTCTGAGTCGTCATTCATTGAAACGGCGGTGTAGGTTTGTTGGTGTTGTACTCATAACTTTGTAGTGTATCTGAAAAAATTGATTTGCATAGCTTGTGGAATTCATCTTTACTTCGGTTCTGAATGCTAATATGGGATTTATTTGAATTTATCCGTTCAATTTCAAACTCAATGTCTAGTTTTGTGGAATAATAATAATAATAATAATAATAATGAATTTGATATTGATTAAATACTGTACATTTAAATGCATAATATGTATCGCTTTTTTAAACTTTATAGAGCACAAAATTGATGTCCACTTTTATTTCAAATTCATTGCGGTTGCATCGCTATTTAAACAAAATATTTCTACAGGTATTATAAAGTTTAGTAAAGGCTATTCAATAGCCAAACCGTGAAAAGAGAAAAAAGAAAAAGTAAAATTGAGAAGCTTAT